GGGCTCCCCGCGGTGCCCTCCCGTAGCCCGGCGGGCCAGTGCCCGGCCCCGCTCCTGCCGCGCCTCTATTCCGCCCTCGGCCGCCCTTCGTCCTCCTCCCGCTTCTCCCTCAGCATCGCCGGACGGGGGCTCGGCGGGGACTCTGGGGAGACGCTCCTTCTCCTGCGCTTCCCCGGGCGGCTCTGGCGGTGCGCGGGGGCGGGGAGGGGAGGGCGGGCGGAGAGGCGGGAGCGAGGGTCCCCGCGGGCGGGGGCCGGGGGGGCTCCCGCCCCGCCTCGCTCCGGCTGCCGCCCCCGGGAGCCGCGGGGAGGGGGCGGCGGCGGCCCGGAGAGCTCCGCTCGCTGCCCTCGGGGGGCGGCGCCGGGGCTCGGCTGAAGGGGACGGGGAGCTGGGGGGGCTCCTCCTCTCCGCGACCGGGACGCCTTCCCCGGCACCGCGCCAGCGCCCGACGGGCTGGGCTGGGCTGGGCTGGGCTGGGCTGGGCTAGGCTAGGCTAGGCTAGGCTAGGCTAGGCGGAGGGTCCGTGCCTGAGTACTTACCCCTCGGAGTGGCGGGCAGTCGCTCGCTTCATTTTTGGGTCGACTGGATTATTTTTTTTATTATTATTTTTTTTTTTTTAAGGGAGGAATATTTCGAGCCATGCCGAAGTAAGAAGTTGTAGATAACGCAGCGGTTTTCCGCAGCTCCCGTCGGTGCCCGTCAGTAAGTGTTGCCTTCCGCACATCACCCGCACCGCCCTGCGAGCCCGTGCGAGCCCGGACCGCATCTCCCCGTTGTTCTGCCGAGCTGCTTCCCCAGAGATCACAGCTCCTTTTTGAAAAGGTTACGTGTATCAGAATTTCGTAATAATCCACCTCTCTTTATTTTGAGAAAAGGCATTCATCGTGTGCTGCAACACACATGAAATGCACAGTCTAAAACCTCTTACGAATCATTTCCTCCCAGGGAAGTTTCCGATGCATTTTTCAACACTCCCTGCTGTCATAACTAAACATTTCCTTACAGCTTGAATTATGTTTTTAAAACTTCAAGCTGGATAAGAGCACAGAAGCACAGCAGTAGAGTTTGCAAATTACAGAATTCTCCACGATTCTAGGATTAAAACATCTAGATCGAATGATGATCTCACTGGCTCGTGAGCTATTTGAGATCAGAAACAGAGTGATTTGTCACTGATACATTGACTTATTGGTAGGAATAGCTTGGCTTAGAGAAATCAGTCGTGCCTTCATGCCAGCCTCCTGAGCTTAAACTACTGCTTTCGTTCCAGTTTTATATGCATCCTTCACATTTGCATGTGTATAACAAATGCAGATAATGTGGACACCATGTCTATCTATCATTCACATATATCTGCAATCAATCTGTTATTCAAAAGGACGTATTAACCCAGCAGGCTCACACACAGATAGGACATTGAAGTGATGTAATGTAAGGTGAAATTCATGTGAAAGTTAGGGTGACACATGGCCAGGCACTGAACATCGACATGAGGAAACATCTGTGTAGCAGAGAGCTAATTAGAGTTAGCATGGTTAATGGAGAAGTGGAAGGGTTGTTATGTGATTAATGAAATAATATGGAGGAATGCAGCAAGCATAAATAGTTTGATATATCCAAATGAAAAATGTCTTGGACCTGAAATTACAGTTGGTGGTTTTATGCTGATCCATTTTATCCAAAGGACAATCACTTGAACTCGATCTCTCTCCAGTGACTGAGCATACCATTGTTTTCTCATTTCCAGAACAATCCTATTTACAGAGATAATTTGTTCAGATAAGGCAAACGTGTATCAAAGCAACATACCAAGAAGCTATTGCTTGTTCTCATTTGAAAATCAGTGGTCATTTGGAGAAGTTAGTTCAAAGCTAGTCACTTCTAGATACTATATGATCCCATGTCAGGATTCTTAAAAAACTATTGGGACGGAACCTAGAAACTAAGAGTTACAAATGGATGTGTTTAATTGGCATTCTTTATAGTCAAACATATAATATTTTAAAAGTACTACATTATTTTTTCATCCAAAATATTATCTTTAGTGAACCTGTGTTTTGTATTCAGAGCTCAGCCTATAGAGGATACTTAATAGTTTATGCCTTAGTAAAGGCAGCAATAAGAATAGCTGAATGTAATTGAAGCAGTTTAGGAGGGAGCACAAACAGTAACTAAGCACCAGGGAGGTATCCCAATGAACTGTGTGGTGATCTTCCGTCTCTTTAATTGTGTTCCTGAAAGCTGGTAACTATGTGTTTCTCTACACTTGCTAACAAATATTTACTGCATTTACTCATCTAGCATTTGCTGTAACATAACAATATGAGACACGTGGTCACTTGATAACAAATCTCAACAAATATATTTGTCCTTCAGAACCGCCATGGAATGGACTGGGAGGTCATGAGTCAGATACATCAGATGGGATATCAAATAATGCAACACCATTTTCTGTAAGGTTTAGCAGTGGATTATTTTAGATGGAAAGGTAAAACAGAATGAAGGTACTACATACAAGCCAACTGCTATTAATTAAACTGTTGTTTCTTGATAAGCAAAGCAGAATGTTCTTCCTCTGGAAATTGGAGGAACCCAGTCAAATAACCACTCCATTTGTAGAGGCAAACAGTCTACAGAGATAGTTTTTTCTGCCAAACACCTTAGCACAGGTTATTATAAAAATTGTCACATTTGATTTGAGGCCTCAGGTGCGACTCCAAAACAAAGGACGAGTTTCTAACTTGTGATGGATGGTACCAATCACTGTGTGACTCAGGCTGTTCCTATGGTTTCGCACACAGTATGCAGCACAGTGCATATTCTGGGTTGCATCAGAGTGTGTGGGCAGGCATTTCTCTTCAGGATCTGGTCCAGAATTGTTTGTTTGCAGTAGTTTATGGCTCGGCTCATCTATTATGGTGGTGTGATTGCTGCCCCCGGCCTCCAAAGATTTTTTTCAGAGATGTGTCAGGACTTGGCACCAAATTTTTCATTTATTTTTAAAAAAACTATCTCTGCTTCAGTTTCTTGTGCTTCTTACCATCAGACGATGCCTGGCTGTGGCAGGAGAATGCTCGACCGACACAGTGCTAGAAAGCAGTGTGTGTGTGCAAGTGTGATACGCACACAGATACAAAAGAAATCTCATCTCTGGGAGCATTCTCTACAGGCCCACAGAGGCTTTTTTCAAACTGGAGCACACTGCAGACACTGGCTGGATGCAGTCGTAAGGGGTGTAATGTTAGCCAGAAAAAGTGTGCCCCAGTTCCTTTCTTCTTCATTGCTTTCAGTGTTTCCAATATCTGTAGAAAAGGATAGACATGGCAGGAGAGTTGCTATAGCTGTGTCATGGATGTACTTTTCCACATTCTTAAAACAATTCTGTTCTTTCTGCCTTTCTCCCCCTCCCAACTCAGAGTCACTCACTCATCAGGCAGCTCCATCTAGAGGCTTCCCCTGTGACCCAGCACTCCCACCCAGCCTCTCAGCTAGACATGCCTGGCAGGGGAACAAGCTGGCCAAGCCTTTTGCTTGCTCCATTTGAATTTCCACTCAGTTTCTGAACACTAGGATTTCCTCAAGCTAGGTACAGTGTTACAAACTGGGTTTTGGTTTTTTGGGTTTTTTTGGGGTTTTTTTTCAGTTATTGGAAAGATGGTCTGAGTTATAAGATACTATTTGAAATAAAGCTATTAAAATATATTGTTTTGTGGGTTCTGCAGTTGATAGAACTATTACAGTCCCATGGGAAGCAGAAGCAAAATCAGTTGGGTAAACATATAAAAATGTGCAATTATTTTCAACTAGTGGATAAAACACTGCAGAGTAATAGTTTCTATTTCACATGACTGTAAATGAATAGATTAAACCCAAGGATGGTTCATTTCTTTGTGCTGTTTCATGTTTTTCTTTCAACAGCGGTGACTGGTGGTAACTGGGGGTGGGTAATTAGCTCTGGTTTCTGTGATGGGTAAATCCAGATGCCAGGTGACTCAAATCACAGCAGACAAAAGACTAGCCCTGCCTGTCTGAATGAAATACAGGCATTGTAGTTTCTAGTGTTTGAATTTACACCTTCTGGCATCACTCAGTCAATCAAAATGTGTAATTAGGCAAAAAAAAAGAGCATGGTGGCTGCATCTCACAAGAGTGTCAAAGAACATCCCCTGTCTACTACACACCCAAGGGCACAAGCCTGATCTCGGTGAGTCACTGTGAGGTTCAAATGAAAACGGGCTTATTACATGTTGGTGAAGGCCCAAAAGACCAATGTGTAAGCCAGGCATCCTACAGAGAAAGTAATGTTCTGCCATCTGACAGGCACAGATTGCCACCCTAAGTGTCTGTACAGAGGTATCTTGGCATCAGCAAGGGGCAAAGAAAGGTAAAAAAAATGAAGCCTCAGTAGAGGATGCAGCAAAAGCATAATTTCTTATGTCCTCTCCTGCTCCTTTAGACTTATTTCAGCCTCATTAGATCACCTAACAGTTTTTCTAAGAGAGCACATTTTCCTACGCTATCCAGTTTTGGAAGCCTCCAAGAAGTTTAATCATCCAGCTCAGATGGGAAAGCCCCACTCCCTCACACAGGATACTGTGTGTCAGAAAACACAGTGGAGATTGGGCTGGACTTGCTAAAATAATGTATATGTTGTCCATGCTGTTTCAGAAAAAAAAAACCAGCTGCCCAAGCTGACAATGAGGAGCGAGATTGCGTGTTTATGTACGCACATAGGCCATTTTGAAATAATTTTCTCTAGTGTTTTGTTCCTTTTTCTAATAAGCCAACTTGTTTATCACTATAGCAACCAGTGACAGATTCCTGGAAAGAAGAGCTGCAAATGCTCATTTGGACCTCTGTGGTCATGGGCTTTTGGTACGAGCAAGGTGCCACACCTGCCTCCCGGAGCTCTGAAACGCCACACAGGGACAGAGCAGGGTGAGGCAGGTGTGACGTGGTATTCGAGGGGGATTCAATTATCCTTCTGTGCCAGGGGCTTAGGTGATGAAGACTGGAAGAGGTGGGAAACGGATGTGCAAATAACCTGCTCAGCGGAGATCCTCCAGGTGTGGTATAAATGGAAATCAATGTCTCACCAAATATCTGCTGCCAGCAAACACCTCTGAAATCTGTGCCACTGAGCCTCCCACTGGTGTTGAGCTTTTCCAGGCGACATCTCACAACCACAGCATTTGTTCAAGTGGCAAAGGTTGGTGAGGCAGAACAAAAAATGGGATCTCCAGAGATAACCTTCACAGGCAACATAGTTACACAGAAGTGAAAGGTTTTATTTGCTTTTCAACCTAGAAAGCTGAATGCATACCCCCCCACCCCGATGTTACAAGACTATTAACAGAAATGTAAACTCTTAGTCTTCTTTTAAATCTACCTTTTCAGATAATATGAAGAGGATCATTCTTATGCTGTTTGCCTACCACTCCCCTGCATTTCTATAACTCATATCAGAAGCCTCTGAGCTCTCTCTCTGTCCTGGTACCTGGTCAGTTTGCTGATATTTTGAACAGACCCCGGGTAGGAAAAGATGAAAGCTAAAAGCCTTGAAGACTGAAAAAGGCTACTTGACCCTTGGTTCTGATACCAAGAGGGTTGAATGTTTTATTCCATGTTTTGTTTGTAATGTAATGTTATATTAGTGAAGTAATGTTGTTCTAGCACCAGTGTCCTAGCAAATGTCAGGCAAGCTCATAGGGAGACATATCTTCTAGTAGACTACATGATGCAGTAAAAAAGAACCCAAGCAGATGAGTGTTCAGGCATATAAGCTCTTCTTTCGCTCTCAAAGAGTAACTTACTGAAATGTCCTCAAAAAAGGAACAGTCTAGGAATTACTTCTCATGAAGAAACTGTTTTCTTTCACTGTGTTGTGATTTTTTTGGTAAGAATATCAAGTTGATGATTTGTGCTTTGTTTTGTTTTCCTTTGTGTTTTGTCCTTGAGAAGTCAAAGGTTCTGCTCCAGTTTCTCTTGAAATTATAAAGGAACCTCCCACACCTTCATGTTTCAGACCTACAAGATGCCTTGTTGACAGAATAAATAGTTTTGGCATAACCAGGTGTGGATTTCAATCAGCACTGCCAGGTGCAAGCAAACTTCTCAGCAAGCATGCTTCACCCTACATGAAGACTAAATCAGTGCTGTGTGAATCTGTTATCTTCTATATCACTTCTCAAAACTGGATCTGGGCTGACAGCAGTAACTCTCAGACAGCTTGCAATCACAATGGTAAGTGGATACTATATGACAAGGCTTGCAAACTGTCTTGCAAGGCAGCTGGGTGACACCTCACATTGTGAACGAGCAGATAGAAAATTCCCCTTGTCTTGGCCAGGGACTTTGTTTCATAACATATTTAATTCTGGTTGGTCCTTGTCATACGGAAATAAATGTCAGGACTGTTCTGTTTTTTATAAAGATATACTTTAAAAATGGGTGTTTAGGATGGATCTTCGAGGCAATAAGTGGTTTATGGCATTTTTGAGATGATGAGTGTTTTATGGCACTGTAGTGTTTGAGTAATTGAAGACTGCCTCAGATAATTTCAAAGACCTAGAGCATACACCTGCCTTCCCAAACCTCTCAGGAGTTTGGGGAGATAGCTGGCAAAATAGGGGATATTTCCTTACTATATACTCTTACATGTTTTGTATAAGTACTTGTATTGGATCCTAGGAGACATCAGGCAGGTGACATAAAAAGGCACATATGAAGGTGTGATCTCTGTCCAATAACCTTACAGTCCACAAACAGCTGAGGATTTATTATGGCTAGGTGAGAGCAGGCACCTTTTCAAACTACTTCCGCCCTAAGCCCACATTTTTCTCCTTTTAATAGGCTTGCCTGTACAGGTCCAATTTTGCCTGTACTACCAAAAAGAAAGAGGAGTTTGCCGCTTCTTGGTGCAGGATGTGAATGGTGGTGCTTCCAAGGCAGTGAAGATGGCATCCTTGTAGTGGATAAGACAGCAGTGGGAAAAAGGTCACACTGTATTAACACCAAGCAGAAACTCATGGGCGGGAGTGTTACTTGAAACTCTGCCTCTTTTTTTCTCTCAAATACTCTAGACGAAAAAGAAGGGACAGCTGGTCTTGGTCAGCACCTAGTTGGCCTGCATGCCTTGAAAATTACGGCTACAGATTACTGCTGCCTTTCCATCTGTTCATGGCATCTTCTCCCACACTGAAATTCTCGTTGAGCCTTGGAATGGCCATGATACTGTAAATATACAAGTTACACAGTATCCTTCTGCTGAGATTGCAAAACCCAGCTCCAGGTTACCTGGGTTCAGTGGCACTGAGGAACTGGCGCTACTTCGATGGTATATGTAACACTGGTGATATTTGCCACTGAGCCACAAAGCTAATATATTCCTCCTTCCCTCTTTACTTACCTTCCTAGTATTTCTTCTCTGCATTGTCCCAACAGGATGTCCCTGGAGCTTTCTAGTTTGTCAAGCACAGCACACTGCTCTGTGCTTGAGAGCATATGGGCAACAAAACAAGAGTTTGCAGCTGGAATTTGAACGTGGCACAAACTGAATTGCTTAAAAAATCAAGGTATGTGCTAAGAAGAAAAAAACGTAGAAATGATGGAAACAAAAGGTCACATAGACCAACCACTGGCCTCAAATCAGGAGCAATCATGTAAACTTCCCATGATGATAATCCAGCCATCTCCTGATATAGTACCTGACTGTGCTGATGGCAAGAAAGTTCAGCTGATATTTAACACAAGTCCTAATGTTATGATATATTCACAGGTTACTTTCTCCTTGTAAATGGAAAATAATTGACCACTTTCACATTTATAGCAGCATAGACAACTATCACCAATACCTCCCCTTCATAACTGCTTTTCTACAAAAAGCAATTTTTTCCCTAGAAATTATTTTTAATGCATAATAAATAAAGGTCTTTTCACTACCTCTGTTTATTTCTTAAAGTATGGACTCCAATACAATAAATATTGCTCTGATCAAGATCTTAGCAGTGCCATAAGAAGAATATTGTTTACCATCCATGCCTTCCATATGATACTTGGAACAATTAGATTCCTTCTGTCATCTGTTATAGGTCCATTTCTATAGTACTGTTCTCTAGCTAGGTATTCTGTACATAATCCTACTCCCTCATTTTAAAGGGGATGATATGGCTGTCCTTCTCAGGATTGTTCTTGTTCATGGTATTTTTCCTCATGATTTTCCCCTTTTCCCACAAACTCACAAAGTCTTCAGTGATTTCTGGAATTTCAGCACTGTAAAAGTAATTTCAACTCATCCAAATATTCCTTAAAAGATTCCTTTTGTCTTCTAGCCTGTTCTCTTGTTATTAATTTTAAAGACTGTTAGCCAATAGATCATAGTTCAACTCTTTAGGAAAGATAATTTCAGTCCTTTTAAGGCTGTTATTTTTGACAGTCTGTCCTTAATATGTGTTAATTTAATGGAATTATAAAAGTTTTCTAAATTCTCCTTTTCAGTACCTGAAAACCGTGAACCACAAGTCACCACCTTTCTTCTCCTTATAAGTTCTGACTTTGAATACTTGTTATAAGCTGACTGTCACTCTAAAATATGATCAACACATTCCCCACAGGATCATTGCTGAAGGTGTGGTGGAACATTTTTCATGAATAGCTGACTTAAAACACAGCGGCAGAGACACTTTCCTTAGACTGCTGGTAGGCTCATACACTCACTTCCCTGGTGATTTGATTTGCCTTTGTGCTTGCAGTTGATGCACGAGGGCAGGAAAAGGTGGGAATAAGACTTGAGGCAGGATGCAGGAATGCTCATTGGATAAAACAGCAGACCAGAGATGGGAGAGCAACTTCCAAGATCTGTGGTACTTAGGATGTAAGGTAGGATGAAATCACCACATAGATCCCAGAAAAAGAGTTGCTGAAGGCCTGTAACAGATTAGTGATGCAGATTCTGGCTCTCCAAGGGTGAGGGGCCATGTCTAAGCAGTTGTGAGCAAACATCAGGTAGATGTTGAAGAGGCTCAGGATAGCTTCAGAGGATGGGGAGTGGGAGAAAAAGGCTCCTCTTCATCACAAGGCAAAGGATGAAGACACGCTGTTATTCCCAGGAGTTATTTTTCAAGGACAATTTGCCCTCAGGCACTTTTGTTTTTTTAATAAGGATGTGGCCAAGCTAAGCAATTTTCTCTAAGTCATTGTGTGCATTTTTTTCTCAAACCATGTCCATGGCAAATTATGTATAATTGGGCTGTAAGGCTCTCTTCGTCCTGCTTAATCTGCTGTTTACTGATGTGGTCTTTATCAACACTGACAATTTTTTTCGAGATGATTTTGTCACCTCTATCCTCCATACAGAATGTAAACAGTGATTATGTAAACAGCTTACACTGCTATTCATCACGTTCAAACACCTTGATTTCTTATCTTTTTAAGGGTGAGGATGTATATAGAAATGTGGAAGCACTTACCACAGTTTTTTAGGGCTGGATGAAAGCACCATCCTGCATTAGAGATGGGCCACTCCTGCTGTGTTCTGCTGGGGCTTGCATCTAGGGCTGTGACTTCAGATGGTGCTTGGGGCTTATTGTCAGGCAGATCAGTCTCTCCTTCAGGTCTGTACCAGATGTTAGTATGCTAAGGGACTTCTCTGATAAGCACAAGAAGCAGGTTCTAAGTAAAAATATACCCTCATCCAACCTGATGTGCCAGTGTAATGACACCAAGGCTTTCACAGACCTGAAGTACCAAAGCATGAAAATCAGGTATTTCACACAGATTTCTTGCCCTGCAGCTTAAAATTCAGCACATATCAGTCAGATACCATATGTAGAAATTTTTTTTCTTCCCTGGTAAGACCTTTTTCTTCCTGATGGAACTTTAAGGATCTAGAATTGTCATATTGTTTTAAGGAATATTATTCTTTCAGAAATCCTTGAGCAGTTTTGGCATTTGAAAAGAAAAAAGCATTTCATCCTTTGTGTAAATACAAGACAAAGTTGTATTTGTCACAACATTCCTCTCAAATTACACTGTAATTCTCAAGTAATTCAGTTTAATATAGTTCAGCTATTTGCCCCCAGTTTTCACTAAAGATGAGATAAATTTTAAATCTCAAATGGCACAGTTTAACATACCAGCTCTTCCAAACCTGCATCGATGTATTATATAAAGAGAAAAGTCTCATAAACTTGCTCTATCACTAGTGGATACTGAAACTGTACTATTTTTTAATCTATTATTTGTTCTTCCATCTTTAGTCCTGCCGCTATTACAAAGAGGAGTGAAACTATTCCACTACTTCACAGAAATCTCTGCAGTGTAAGGTTGAAAATGACATCAAGATGCCATTTCATCTAATGATTTGCACATGTTTTCAAACAGTGGCGGATAACTTCATCACGATTCTGTAGCCAGTTATGGACCACTGAACTCCAGACTCATGGACCACCAGGTATCCCAGGACCTCAATATAGATATTTTGAGACCAGGAACAGCTGCTTAGTCATCTCCTGTTGCAAATGTGGGAGTACACTGCTGCCACCCTCATATTTCATATAACCTGTAAATGGTTCCCTCATTTTCAAGGTAATTGTCAGACTTGAGGACAGAATGAACTCTGAGCAGACAAACTGCAATGGCAACAGCCTGCTCTCAACCACTACCCTCCCCAGACATCTCTGGTCCTTCTCTGATCAGGGAAGATAACATTCACCCACCATAGGAGAGATCTTTCTATGAAACCATGAGCTGGTCAGAGGCTGCCACTCCCAAACAGCTCAGCCAAGACTTGCTGACTTCTGGCTGGCAACAGAGTGGGCAAATTATCCAAGCAATCTGTGGATGGCACCCTTGATTTAGTCTATCTCCATCCTTGAGATAAAACTGAGCAGATTTACACCATCCTCAGCTGCTCTTAAAAATATTCACTGTAGAGGATGCTGGCAGCCTCTGCAGTAACCGATGCTCAATTGCCCTTTCAATTAAAAGGATAATGCCTAATCTAAATTACCTTTCAGCAAATGAGATTACTTTTTTTCCTGCTGATTTTGGAGAAAGATATACTTCGTGCATGTGAAGATTCACTTCATCCTTGTCTTCTTCCTAGAAGCCAGCTTGAATTCTTTCAGCCATTCTGAAGAAGTCAGATGCCTTACCATCCATGTTGCTCACCTCTGAGCTGTGTGATTCATAGAGCTACATTCTTCTAAAAATACCTATCCCAAAAATGGACACAGTTTTCCAGCTAAGGTCACTAATGCCAAGCTGAGTAAAAGAACTGTTTTCTGTATTTTATACCTGTTAATGCATCCCAGAAGGTCATTTGAATGTCTTGCAGCAGCACTATATTTTGCACTTCCAATTACAATCCATTGTCATCTTCTGGATCCTTTTCTGCAGCAGAATAAAACTGATCAGGATAAACTTCTACAGGGCCCTACTTCTTATTTCATCACATTTAAGGAACGCACTGAATGATAAATTCAAATAGTAATTGTCAATCAGTTGTACATCCACCTCATAATTTTATCTGGATCATTTTTATTCAGCTGGCTTCTGGTAACATCGTGTGGGATTGTCAAAAGCTGTAGTACAGTCAATATAAATTCTATCTGTGGTCCCTCATGTCCTTGCTAGATTTCTATCCATGCTTTGGATTTTTTTTTAGAATGATATCATGTGATTTGCTCTGACCAAAACTGTATATTGTCTGTTTTATTGGTTATTAAGTGACCATTCAGTGAGAGCATTTCCAGGTAATGAAGTTAAACTAATCCATCACTGTGTATTCCATAGATTTCTTTCTAGCCTTGCTCTAAAGATAGATTTTGTTTTCCTTTTTGCAGTCCTCTGGGATTCCCTGTCCACCTGCAATTTTCAGAAATGACCATTAACAGTTCAGAGGTTGCTCAGGATAAATCCTGAAATATTCCTGGAGAAATTTTCTTAGAACCAGGTCATATGAATAAAGCTAGTCTGTCTAGACAATCTGTCCTTTGCTCTTCTTGAAATTAATTCCATTATCTATCTGGTCAAAATCAACTTTTTTGGTCATTAATAATGTAAAAAAAGAAATTTCATGGAATGTGCATCATTCATATTTCTTTTAAAATACTATGTATATTTGGGTAGATTTTTCAGAAAACCTCACCTCAGTGATTTCAAATTCCATCCCATGCTTTGTATGATCAGTAAGTTTACTTCAATACTATATCAATTGCTGGCTAGATTATGAAGTAGAGATGGAGTCACAGTCACAAAATCATTCCTCGAGAAGACCGGTCCTTTATAGATCACTATTTATTGTAAAGTTTGAATAACTTCTCTTTCTCATAATCCTTTAAAGGATTAAGTATTAAATTATATACATTATTTTAAGAGCTGGGTTTGCTAGTTCTCATAATTCATTGCCTTCACCTCTACCTGTATTTATAGCATACATGAATAAAGTTTGCCCACGCAGAAAACAAGATAAAATTACTTTCAAAAACCATTTAATATCTGTGCTCGTATGCATCACATAGCAATGATCATCCTTATTTTTTCAGATTCCTCATGTTCTTGCATTTTTTTATGAATGATGTCAACTTTGCTCTTCAACATTTTTTGAATACAGGTTTGTGGAGTTTCTTTAGCACAGCTGCTCTTTCTTATACTGGAGTGTTTTTCTGGTATAGATGCAAACCATCACCTAAAATCCTGGGTGTGCTCACCCAGGCTTTTCATACAGGTGCATATTCATCTGTTCACAATGTCAGGTCAGATGTTAAGAGCTGCTAGATTTTCGAAATGAAATTTTTGCTGTTTTGTAGCTTAGTGGCAGTTTTGACACTGACTTTAACAGGGTCAGAGCATCAGACACTGTTTGTCTAATGCTTTCTGTGTAACATTCCTATTGTGTAGTTCATATGACTACAGAGTAAATAAAGGCATTTGTCCTCATCTGTATACTATTTCTTTGCAGAGAACAATTAGTCACAGAGAATGCACTAGGATGAAGGTCTCACAGCACTGGTTGCACATAAAGAAGTTCCAGTCAGAGAGAATTCATAATCTAATTTCAGAGACTATAAGTGACTATAGCACAGAGGTAGAAAACTAAAAGAAACATGAGAAGTTTTTAAGCTCTTACAGTAAATGCTAAATAGACTTTTTTGTGTTAAACAGACCTTTTCTCCTCAATAGGGAGCTACATGCTTTTTATACCTTCCAGGTATTGCTGGTCTATTCAGAAATGCAATAAACCAGACATTTTCATTATTCAAACCTTTTCTTCAACTGCTTATAGCTTCCTGGAAATAAAACTTGTATAATTTCTTAACATTGCAACTAGGAGAAAAAAAGCAAACAAAAAAGAAGGAGGCACCGAAGTGATATAAGGAACATGTAAAATATTAAATAAGAAAAAACTCTGCAAAGAAATGTTGTCTAGTCTCTCGGATTTCAAAAAATAAAGATTAAGTAAAGTAAGTATAGGAAGAGTGATGTTACTTTTCTGACAGGATCTTTTTGCAGAAGTTTGCACGATGCTAAATTACGTACATGGTACCTCCTGAATAATCTAAACAGCACTGGCTAAGGTACAGCCCAGCTGCTTTATCTGCCTCCCCTGATAACCAGCTCTTCCCCAGTTACAGAAAAAAACCCCAAAAAATCAAAGACAAAACTCCAAACTTTCCAGGGCTTTGCCTGCTTCTTGCCTCTTGCCTCCTTCAGTGAGTCCTGGCCAAAGGTGTGCTCTTCAGGCACAAGTGAAGTGCTGGTTCCATCTGTGCTGCCTCTTGCTTTGTCACTGTTGGTGACCCAAGAGGTGATGCCTGGCTGCAGAGCACTCAGACACGCAGCCCTGCCTAAGGGACACCTTTCCAAGGAGAAGCTTCGTCCTTTGCAATTCCTTGTTCTTGTTTTCCTGAGGTCTCATTATCAAACCTGCTCAAAACAGAGTTGTGTTCAGTGCTCTTGTTTAATGCAGAGCATAAAGGGACAATAGAATTTTATTAACCCCAAATTTTAAATGCATCTCCACCTAAGCAGGAGCAGTCCTACCAGTCTTACGGAAAAAAAAAGCAAATGGGTCCTGGATAAGTCCATTTACTTCTTCTCCAGCTTCAGCACAGGCTGGCAAAGAGCTCCCTCCTCTGTAATACTTCTGTCCCCTGCAGCTCCTCAGAGCTCTATTCTTTCCTTTAACAGCTGAGGACTCCAAAGTAACTGATAGTCTCCCTGCATCAGCGTGCACAGGGGTTGATCTTACGTGGATTCATTAATCTGTCAATGCAGATACACTGGTACACCTGCACAAGGTTCACTGTGATGCTGGGGCCAAAATAATTCACAGCTCCACCATGTGCCATAGGCAGGCTCAGTCGCTCATCCCAGCCTCACACCAGAATAAGGTCTAGGGGAGAAACCAGGAGGAAGAAAATCAAAGTAAACATCCAGAATAATAGAATTTTCTTACATTATTTTCTCCATGTCTCTATCTTCCCCAAGCCACTTTTGTCAAGTGCCCTGTCATACTGGTGCTGCAGGATTGTTTGGCATGAGCATGGTCTGAAAAACAAACTTCAGCCCCCAGAGAATTTTGCTGGGAAGAATAGATCTGCATGAAAGTCTAAATCAATAGAAGTCTTTCTGAATGCATTTCCAGGAAACCTAGACACATCGCCAGTGACTTTGACTAAAATACAAGGTGCCACTGTTCGGAAAGCAATTTATAGTTAAGTAATTTAAATTTCATAGTGAAGAAGGCCATATAGTGAGAACCTCATCCACTGCAGGAGAGGAAAGCTGGAGGTGTTCAAGGACTGCAAATACTTGCACAATTTTGGGAGGAGTTTAGAGGATATATTTTTTTTCCAAGTACAGTTTCTGGATCCCATTCCAATCCCAAAGGAAAACCCTCTTCTTCCTCCCCTGAATCCCAGCATATATACAGCTTTTGCCTATTTTTTTCCCATGGGTTTATTTTCTATCAGAGGATTATTTTCTCCTTTATTAAAAGCTTCTTTTAGGCTACTGGGGTAGATGTTTAAGGTCTGCATTCTGTCACTTCTTATTTACATGTTTTCAAGAGTTTCTCCTAAAGCTTGACTATAACTGATGGAGAAATAAATGTAGAGGCTATACTACTATACAGTCAGTTGAAATGCACAGTTGATTCTTCCCCTTTTACCATCCTCTATTAGGACTAGCACTTATGAAAGGTCTGATTCTCTTAACCTCAATTTTATGACCCAGTGCCACCCAGAAACCTTTCTTTTCAGCAGCAGCACCATCCCGCAGACACCTAAACGTGATGTGTCCCCATGTGCAAATTCCA